TCAAGCCAGCAGTCAGGGCCAGCAGTGATCTGCTGGGTGCCAGGAAGGAGATGGGGCTCCAGAGGAGCCCCATCAATAGGGAGGTAAAATATGGAGGTAGAGGCTGCCCAGCAGAGGCAGGTACATTGTAATGGGTTGTGTTCCCAAAGTTCATGTATGCATGCTCTCATCACCCAATACCTGGGAATGTGACCTTATATGGAAGTAGGCTTTGGCAGGAGATCAACTCCAGTTCCTTTTGTTATTGTGCCCCTAAAAGGGGGAAATCGGGTCCCAGAAATGCACCCAGGGATGATCCTCTGCAGAGACGTCACTCTGCTCTCACAGGCTCAGAAGCTGAGAGAAGACCTAGAACTCACAGTGCCTTGTACCTCCTGAGGGAATGTGGCCCAGAAGACACATATTCCATGCTGCTAAACTTCACAGCTATGAACACAGATCTCTAAACAACCCAGTCTGCAGTGGTGTGTCAGAACAACCCTAGACCCTTATGTATGTTTAAATCCTTTATAGTATAAATCAGTTATAGCTAATCATTATCATCTAGTCAAGTATCATTTAAGACAGGGAGGATGTTAACACTAAAAACCAGTCCTCACATATCCCCATAAAAGCATTGTACATTTTGTGGAACTTTTCAATGTGCACTGCAATGTACTAGAGGTTAATAGATCAGGGGCTGGGAAGGTGGCTCAGTGGTAGAACGCTTGCCTTGCATGCCTGAGGCCCTGGGTTCGATTCCCCAGCACCACATAAGCAAAAAGCAAAAAGCCGGAAGTGGCGCTGTGGCTCAAGTGGTAGAGCGCTAGCCTTGAGCTGAAGAGCTGAGGGACGGCGCCCAGGCCCAGAGTTCAGGCCCCACGAGGGGACCAATATATATATATATTTCAGGTCCTAGTTGTTACTGTAATACATCCATGGTATCCATTTCATTTTGTGTTTTATTTGAAGCAACTCTAAATCCGACTCTGATCATTTTCCCAGAATGGAGTCAGACAGAACCACTTCACCTGTGCGCTTTCTCAGCTTCAGGGTGCCGGGACTCATAGTCCATAGGACATGGCCTCTGCATGTCTTCTATGCCACAGGTCCTGAGGCCAGGAGGCCAGTGCACATACGCCTAGTATGCCCTCTGGTGGGAATCGGGACCCACTGCACCCCGAGTCCTGATGAGAGGACAGTGTGCAAGCCTAGGGCGCCCTCTGGTGGGCATCAGTGCTCACCGCACCCCGGGTCCTGATGAGGACAGCGCACAGGCCCAGAGCGCCCTCTGCTGGGCATTAGTGTTCACCGCAGCCCGGGTCCTGAGGAGCGCAACTTCTTGAAACGATCCAGTGGCCTTTGTTTCACAGCTATATGTTTATAGCACAAGCCGTTAGCAGCATATGTGTTTAATTACCCCATTAAGCTGCACACTACACTCCTTTTGAAAGAAATAACTTTATTTACTTATTGTGCCTCATTCACAAGAGTTATGGTTTGGATAAGAATTTCCTACACAGGCTCCTGTGTTGAATGCTTACTCTCCAGGTGTGGGACATTTTCAAGGGCTGTGGAAACTTAGGGAGATGGGGGCCTAGCTGAAATAGTTCATGGGCACTACTGGGCCTTGAACGTGGGGCTTAGGTGCAGTCCATCCCTGAGCTTTTCCACCCGAGCCGGCACATTAGCGCTTGAGCAATGGCTCCACTTCCAGCTTTTGTTTCAGTTGTCAATGGAAGGTAAGTCTCAAGGCTTTTTCTGCCCTATCTGGATTTGAACTCTCAAAGCCTCCTGAGTAGCTAGAATTTCAAGCATGAGCCACAGATGCCCTGCACAAGCCTCAACTCTCAAAAGATTCTGCCCCACAACATTGCTAGACAAGGGACCAGGCCTCTGTCACAGGACCTTTGGAGACAAACCACATCCAAACCACACCAGTAACCATTCATGGTTATAACTTAAGATTTAAATTATTACAGTTTTTATGTTTTTCCTCATTGTAGAATCTCCTAGAAGACTCAGCAGATCCAATGACAGGAAAAGAAATGAATTTGTCAGTCTCTGAAGGTTTAGAGTATATCCATTAACCTCTAATCTTCATGTAAACCAGAAGATATGCAGTTTCCTGCCTATAAAGAGAAATTTATCAGCATAGCAAAATTAAACATTTACAATGAAAGGCTATATGTATTTTTGGGTGGGTTGTGGGACTTGAACTCTGGGCCTGGGCACTGTCCCAGCTCAAAGCGAGGGCTCTACCACTTGAGCCATAAAGCCATTTCTAGTTTTCTGTAGCCAGTTACTTGGAGATAAGAGTCACAAACATTTTCCTGCCCAGGCTGGCTTTGAACCGCAATCCTCAGATCTCAGCCTCCTCAGTAGCTAGGATGACAGGAGTGAGCTACCAGTGCCTAGTTGAGGGGATATATTATTGATTCACAATAGGACCAAATTTCCAGGATAATGAAGCAAACCTTCATCTACCTAACCTGTCCGTCTCATCAAAGGGAAAGAAAATAGTGACTTGGGAAACTAACCTGCAAGTTCTTATTAGCTAACATACAAATCATGGACAGCATGGTGCTAACGGCTCATGCCTCTGATCCTAGCTACTCAGGAGGCTGAGATCTGAGGGTCATGGTTCAAAGGCAGCCTGGACAGAAAAGTCTGTGAGACTCTTATCTCCAATAAACTACTCAGAAAAAGCTGGAAGTAGCACTGTGGTTCGAGTGGTACAGCATTAATCTTGAATACAAAGAGGCTCAGGGATAGCACCCAGGCCCTGAGTTCAAACCCAGGACTAAAAGGAAGAAAGAAAGAAAGAAAGAAAGAAAGAAAGAAAGAAAGAAAGAAAGAAAGAAAGAAAGAAAGAAAGAAAGAAAGAAAGAAAGGAAGGAAGGAAGGAAGGAAGGAAGGAAGGAAGGAAGGAAGGAAGGAGGAAAGGACCAGGGACAGACATGTTATGGGACTATAAGCCAACTCCAAGCCTGTTTTTTGTAAATAAACTTAATTGGAACATGGCCACTTACATTCATTCATTCACGTGCTGTCTGTGGCACCCTGCATGTTGCAAGGGCAAAGCTGAGTAACAGCTACAGAAGCTATGCTCCAAAACCCTAAGTACTTCCTCTCTAACTTCTACAGAGAAAGTTTGCTAACCCCTATTCTAAATCACAGGGGAATGAATAACCAAAAATTGGCTAAGAACAGGCACCTAAGAGAAATTTTGAGAATAAATAAAATGAAAACATAAAAAGTAGGCAAAAGGAAGATATCAAACATAAACTCCACCTAATCCATTAATTATGAAATCAAACCTCTGATGTAGCTGAATATCACCTGGTACAAACACCATCACCCCCAATACCACCCCCAGTACCTACACTGTCACCCCAATACCACCTCCACTACCTACACTGTCACCTCAATACCACCTCCACTACCTACACTGTCACCCCAATACCACCTCCAGTACCTACACTGTCACCCCCATACCACCTCCAGTACCTACACTGTCACCCCAATACCACCTCCAGTACCTACACTGTCACCTCAATACCACCTCCACTACCTACACTGTCACCTCAATACCACCTCCACTACCTACACTGTCACCTCAATACCACCTCCACTACCTACACTGTCACCTCAATACCACCTCCACTACCTACACTGTCACGCCCATATCACCTCCAGTACCTACACTGTCACCTCAATACCACCTCCAGTACCTACACTGTCACCTCAATACCACCTCCACTACCTACACTGTCACCCCCATACCACCTCCACTACCTACACTGTCACCTCAATACCACCTCCACTACCTACACTGTCACCCCCAATACCACCTCCACTACCTACACCGTCAGTTCCATTTCCACCTCCAGTACATATAAAAATCTCTGCCTTAACTTTATCCAGCTTTTCTCTCTAGGTTAATGACTACGTCAGTATCATGTCCTGATGCTTACTGAGAAAGAGAAGAGTGGTCCTGGCCCCTGCTCTTCTGGGCACCACTGGCTCACACTTGTAACCCTTGTTATTCAGGAGGCTCCGATCGGAGAATTCAGGTTCAAAGCCAGCAGAGCAGAAAAGTCTTTGATACTCTTATCTCAAATTAACCACACAAAAGCAGGCCGTGGAGTTGTGGTTCATGTGGTAGAGCACTAGCCTTGAGTGAAAAAGCTCAATGCCTAGGCCTAGACTTCAAACCCAAGAACCAGCAACAAAAATAAAAAAAATAAAAAAAAAAGCACATGGTCTGGTGTGAGGGGAAAAGTCGCAAAATCAAAAAACATTTTGAAGTGTAATAAAGGAGGCCTGCTCAAAAAGCAACGAAAGCAATAAGATAGCCCTGCCTTTGGAGCTCCAGCGGTGCAATCGGTTAGCGCGGTACTGATAAGATAGCCCCGCCAATCCGCTGAGGCCCATCAGTAAAGGCTTTGCGCAGTAGGAGAGACCGTGATTATCAAAACACCACTAGGCACTTGCTCAGAAGATAAATTAGGACAGGGTCATAGAGACCAGAAAATACAGGTACACAGTTACAGAAGATGATGGACATGGTATTGGGACTTATGCCAGTGCTTTACTTAAGTCTAAATTCTGAGGGAAGTGTGGTGCCAGGGATGACTGCTGAAAGATGAGGCTGAATGGTAGTCAGTGGGGACTCTCGGATAAAGGCAATAGTTCATCCGTGCAGATTTCATAAAGCTCCAAGAACCCAGGGGACCCCATTCCCCCAAGTACTTCTCTTACCAGCGGTAGTGATGATTTCCATAGGTACACTGGACATCTTCCCAGGACACCTGGAAGAACATCACAGACATCAGCAGCTGGTTGGCAGCTGCTATTACGTGTGGACAGAACAGGGGACACTGTAATGTGCCCTGTTAGACTCCTGCAGAGAATGGAGAAGCCCACCCTGGCGACCACACAGCATCAGAGCATCTGGTGACACAACGCCGTGCATCCTGAGACCCTCTGTAATGTCCCCACTCACCTTGAAATGCTCACACCTATCCCAGAGTTTTACACCTTGCATCTTTAACGTCTCGCTCCACAGACATTTCCTACAAAGCATAAACCTTCAAGGTACGGGGCTAAGAGCACCAGAAACCTAACACTGACACAAACAGATGCTTAGAAAGCAATAAACCATGGCTGGGAAGGTGGCTCAGTGGTAGAGTGCTCGCCTAGCATGCATGAAGCCCTGGGTTCCATTCCTCAGTACCACATACACAGAAAAAACCGGAAGTGGCGCTGGGGCCGAAGTGGTAGGTAGAGCACTCTCCTTGAACACAAAGAGGCTGGGGAACAGCACCCAGACCCTGAGTCTAAGCCCCAAGACAAGCAAGAAAATAAATAAATAAAGCAATAAACCTAGAGAATGGCTTTGAACCACAAAACTCCCCAGCTCCTACACACAAACTACAAGACCATAATGCGTCTTCAACTCTGAGCTGAGAATTCAGAGAAGGAGGAAAGTTTAGATGATGGTTCTCACCCAACAAACATTGGAGTCATTGAAGCAGAGCCATCTTCCATCCGCTGGATTCCGAATGTAGGCACAGTAATGACCGAAGTCTGCCATCCCTACGTGGGCTATCACAGCGAAGAGTTCATACTGTGCTTCACGCTGGAAGAGGACAAGGCTGTAAGCGACCCATCCCTCCTTTCCCAGCCCTGGTCTTTAATGAGGAAGCATATTTGCCAGGCACTTGTTTACTGCCTGCTCTAGGCCCGGCACTGACACTTCCAAGGAGCTCGAAGAAAAGACCTTGACCTGCAGAATCTCACAGCTAGTTGAAGAGAAGCATCACAAACCAGAACTGTGATGCCTGTGTTATATCAGACGCACGACCAGTAAGTGGGGGATGTTCAATTTTTGCCAAGTGGGAACTCTGAGGAGGTCTCTGTTAACAGTGCAGAAGGGTTTTTTAACATTGGCAGACAAGTTATCGGAAGGGAATTTGTTTTGGTTTCTTTTGGGGGGGGGAGGGGTTGTGAACTTTTTGTTTCACCTTGGTTTCTTCTTTGTTTTTGTTGGTTTGTTTTGGAAGTTGCGGTTTGAACCCAGGGCCTCCTGCGTGCCAGGCAGGAGCCTTACCATTGAATCACACCCCTAGCTCTGTTCTATGCTGTTTTGTCCTTCCCCAGGCAAACGTCGGGAACATGATTTCCCCCGCTTCAGGCTTCCTATGATTAATGGGCTGATAGACACATGCCACCATCTGAACAGAAGACATAGTCTGAAAGTCTTCAGTTTGAGGTTAATGAAACTGTGAGAAATATGAGGTGACATTCAAAAAGGTGAGGAGAAGAAATGGAACTAGAATATCCACAAAACGCTGACAGAAAAGAACCCGAAAACGGACAGTGAAATGGCAGGACAGAAACCTTACAAAGACAGTAGGACACAAAGAGGAATGTTCCAGACGCAAAGTCTCTAATACATGTGTCCATGAAGTGTTCCACTCCCTCAAAATCTTAGAAAACTGTTTAAAAGAAAAGGGAACATTAGTAGTGAGAGTTTGGGCTGACTTTTTTGTTAGTCAAGAGTATTTCTTTCTTTCAAATAAAAACATAGCAGCAGAAACCCAACAGTGGTTATTAGGGGTTGTAATGAAAGATGGTGATCAAAGCGCACAAACTTCCAGTTAAACGGGAGGAATAGGTTTCAGAACAATGTCATACACTATCGTAATTATAATGTGTTCCACACCGGAAAATGCTTTTAAAGAATTTTTACATACGCTCACCACAAAGACACAGGTGAAGTGATAAGTATGTTGTCTAGCTTGAGCTAATCTTTCCAAAATTTGAGGATGGGTGCGGTTGCACACCTATAATCCAGGTTCTCCAGAGGGGGAGATCAGAAAGGCTGTGGACAAAGTCAGCCTGGCCAGAAAGCTAGTGAGACTCCGATCTCAACAGACAAGCCAGACACAAGTGCACACCCGGAAGCCTGTCCCTGGGAGAGGCAGAGGTAGAAGAGCAGCCCAAGGTCAGGCCTGGACAAAAACAAACCACTGCCTGATAACAGAACTCAAGCAAAAAGGCCCAGCGGCTTGGCTCAGATGGTGAATGGCGATGTGCTTGCTACAGGCCCAGCGTGACACATTAGTCAGTGCCAAGACCACAAGACACCATTCCTCCGGCATGCGTACGTCACAGCACCACACTGAAATCCCTACACACAAATACTTTCCATGTGTCAACATTGGAAATAAGGCAGGTTTGTTCTGAATCTTTAAAGAAACTAACACTAGGAACAGCAAAGGCTTGTGGTGACATTGTTATAATGATAACCCCAGCACGGACCCCGGGGGACCACATGGTCATTAAAATCAATAATGCTTAGAAAAAAACAAAAACAGCCTTTCTTTTATTTGTGAGGCAGGGTCTTAACTGTGTAGCTCACACTGGCCTTGAACCAATGCCCCTCTGGTCTACGTCTCCCGACCGCAAAGAAGATAGGCACGTGCCAACATACTGGCTGAAAAATAAATAAATAAATTGAATTTAAAATGTTTTTAAGCCCTCTGCCTTGAATATGCCTTTGCTTCTGTGACTCGCAGCAACCTGAGGCCAGCCTGTCCTCGGTGCGGGCCCCGCCTAGCCTGCAGAGGGCACACTTCCTCAGACAGAGCAGTGCTCAGAGGCTGAGCTCACCACGCCTGGCTCCCCTCCCGGGGGCGCTGCACACCCAGCACAGGGCTGCTCCGAGCCCTCACACTGTGGAGGTGAGCTGAAGACCAAATCGCTAACCCGGGCCTGGGGAGCCTGAACCAGGGGAGTCACCAGTCGGTGCCATCTAGCAGTCGAGGGGTAAGAGCGCTGAACCTGGAGGACGCCGCGTCTGGTAGGATCGATCCAGAACACCTCACCTGCTCTGCGTCCTCAGTGAAGTCTTGATGCTCAGCCAGAAGAACCTGACTGAGATCCAAGCGCTGAGGGAAGTGCAGCAAGTGGCAGACTTTCTCCGTCTGTGAGTTCCGAATGGAGAATCGCATCAGGTGAAGGGTCAGGGTTTGGGGCAGATGCGTCATCCTCAAGACCTGCAAAAGCAAAACTCACTGTGAGACGGGGCCCCGAGGCGCTTGCGGGAAGATCCTGAGACTCGCCGGGCCTGGTGGATCGTTCTCCTCCCCAGGGGGAGAGGCGCGGGGGACACACTGGGGAGCTGAAGGCTTCCATGGCAGAATCCATTCCTCTCCCCGGAGACACAGGGGACGCTTGGCCGGCACAGCACTATGGACCTCAGACAAAAGCCGTGAGCTGCTCAGGGCTCCGCAGAGGTGCCTGGCCCTCAGAAACTAGGAGTCTGCTGTAGGGAGCGTCTCTAAAACCAAAGAGGAAACCCCACCGCCCCCACCCAGCCCCATGCCGTCACCTGCCACTCCTGGTGGAAGACTGTGGTCAAGAAGCGACATCCACAGCCCCGTCTATGAGAAGCCCGAGGGTCTGAACTAGCCTCACCCACATCCCACCCCATCCGCCATCAGGAAGGGCCCGGAAGGGTCTGGAAAGCCGTGGCCCAGCAACAGCCCGCCCCGGAGACGCATCTGAACCTGAGGGTGGGCACCTGGCTTCCACGCGTCTTCGTCCCGCAGGCCTCGCAGAACCACTTGCTCTTGCTGGCTAACTCCCTGGGGTGGAAAAAAACAGCGCAGGGCCTCCTCCTGCCGGCGGAGGCCGCAGGGAAAGGCCGCGTCAGCAGACCCTTTCCATGGGCACGCGGCCACCCCACAGGTGAGGGCTGAGCTCCGCTGCAGGTTCCCCCACAGTCCCCCAAGCACCCCACTACCAGCGCTACATCTGTCAGGATCTTCCACCCACTGGAGGAGAAAACACAAGGAGCCCTGGTTAATATGAGGGTGAGAAAATGAGAAACAGGATAGAACTTCTGCTGCTGCTCAAAGAAATTGGCCACCTAGAGCCGTGCAAGTGAAACAGAGTTGTTAGTGTCCACGGGTGGAAGGACACGGGGAACTGGCATGGCGGAGGGAACTGGCATGGCGGGGCGACCCTTTCTCACCCAGTCTCTCACCAGTGTTTGCAGAGGCTTTGCGTCCACGTCATAGAGAGGGAGGGAGAGGGTCAGCATACTGCTGTTCCTACTGCTCTCTCTGGTACAGAGGAGGCAAACCAGGGACTCCTTCACCCGGATCGTGTACAGGGCCTGCAGCCTCTCTACCTGCAAGAAGGAGCCAAGGACGGGTGAGGCTATGTCCACAGTTGGACCTGTTGGACTGACGAGCCCTGACGCTCCCGGCAGGTACCGGGAAGGACACCAGGAACCGTGGCAAGCGGTCTCCACGGATCCCTTACTACAAATGCACAATGGTGAGCGACCTCTACAGGTCCTGGGATTCCAGCTTCAGCTCTTAGCCAAGTCCACATCATCTATTTGATCCTTAAGAAGGTTCCAGAACGTGAGGTAGAGCTGAGCAGCATCGTGCTGGACAAACACTGGTTAAAAAAAAGGAACAGCGCATCAGTGCGGTCGCTGGAGAAGTCCCATGTCCTCACGACCCCTAGCTACGTGAACACTCACCACCTTGCCTTTGACTCTCCCAACTCCCAAAAGAGGTCAGGAGGTACCACATGTCAGGCGCTCAGGAAGGGAGAAGCATTCTTGGTGCTGGATTTGACAGCGCCTCTTAAACTTCAGCCTCGGGAAGGGAACAAGGCTGTGCTCTACGCACTCTGAAGGGTATGGTACACCGGCAGCCTCAGTGGAGGGGGAAAGGCTTGCCACAGAAAAGCCAGAGCAGGAGCTGAACTCCCTGAGCGGCGCAGAGAGGTGGGCACATGCTGACGGGCCGGCCGGGGGCTGCCGGGCATGCCCCGCCTGGCCCCACTGGATTCCGTAGAACAGACCAGCTCCAGGGACTCTCCAGAGCACAGGAGCGGCGCCTCCTCGCTCCATCCGCTGCTCTGTTCCCAGCTTGCACCTGGCCAAGCCAGAACTCTGAAGGGAGGCGCAGACCACCAGACGGTGCGCCAGGCGGCATTCCTTCTCAGCAAAGATCGAAAAATGACTCTTTTTTTTTGCTTTACTTTTTTTTTTTATTATTATTTTTGGGTCCGGTTGTGGGGCCTGAACTCCGGGCCTGGGCGCTGTCCCTCAGCTCTTCAGCTCAAGGCTAGCGCTCTACCACTTGAGCCACAGCGCCACTTCTGGCTTTTTTCTTTTTGCTTCTGTGATGCTGAGGAATCGAACCCAGGGCCTCAGGCATGCAAGGCAAGCGCTGTACCACTGAGCCTCCATATTCATACCATATCCATAACCCCAACCCATCCCACAGAGTTCTTCCTCACACATTCCCTAACCCTAAACCTTTCCTGGACCCTTACTCTAACATTTCCTCAAGTGCATCCCCAACCTCACCCTTTGTCTACCATATTTTCCCTACACCCTTTCCTGACCTTAAGCCTGACCTATTCCCATAATCCAAATGCTAGCCCTAACCTCACCAGATCGATAAAATCCTAACACTGACAATGACCCTGACTCTGACCCTAACCCCCAACCCTAGCACATGCTCCAACATGTAGCCTATCAGTTATCCTAACACATACCTTACTCTAAAACCCTAAACTGTACCGCATACCCTAATAAGTACCCTAACAAATATAGTAAACAGTGTCACATTCTATCAAGTACCCTAACAAGTACTGTAAACCATACAAGCACATTTACGTACACCCTATCATCTACCTCAAATTCACCTTACCGCATACCCAAACACGTGCCCTTAATTAACCCAAACCATAACCCTAATATACACTATAGCGTATACTTTAACCCTAACACATACCCTAAGTCTAACACGAACCCTGACATATACCATAAACTTCATTCTAACTCACACACATGCCATAACATACACTCTAAACGCTAAAATGTGTGGTAACAATGACTCCTACATGCACTCTAATACATGCAAGTACTCTTATAGTTAGGTAAACTAGCATGTACCCCAAACATACCATAATACATACCTTAACTCTAAGCCAAACCCTAACAAATGCTCTAACATGTACCCTACTGGTTAACACAGACCCTAACCATTATCATGTACTGTAAAGCTTACATATACCCTAACAAGTACCCTAAACTTATCCCAACATACTTCCTAACGTGTTGCCTAACCCAAACCATAACTGTAACCTTGACACATACCCAAGCACATACTGTAACGCACACTCTAAACATTTACATGTAACAAGTACTCTAACATGTACTTCAAGTCATACATGTACCCTAGCATGTGCACAAAACATACCCTGTTTGCTAACATGTACTCTAAACACTAACAAGGACCCTAACACTTATTCAAAACCATGCAAATACCCTTAAATACACTCAAACTTGTACCTTAAAGTAACCCAATGTACACCCTAATATGTGCCCTGACTTTAACATGTCTTTGAACCCTAACAGATTTCCCAATAGTACTCTAACACATTAAACATACTCTAGACACGCATATAATAACAAATACCCTAACACATATTCTATAAAGCATACAGGTAACCTTACATGTACCCTGAATGTACCCTAACATACTCTAACTCTGACCTTTACATATACCCCAAGTACCTTGACACATATTTAAAAAATTAATGTACCCTAACATGTGACTCAACCATATCCTAACATGTACCTTCACCCTAACGAATCCCCTGTGAAGTATGCTAACTCTAATACATACCCTAATATGTGCCCTAACTAACACACACTCTAGCATGTACCGTAACCCTAACCAATCCACTATCAAGTACCCTAACTCTAACACATACCCTAACATGGACTCAAACACATACCCAATATGTGCCATTACTTTCACATGTATGTTAAACCTAACAGATTCCCAATATACTGTAATACAATAAACATGCTCTGGACACGAACCCATACGGTAACAAGTACCCATTCACATACTCTGTAAATTGTACCTGTACCCTGAATGTACCCTAACAAACTACAACTTCACATTTACCCTAAACGTAGCACATACCCTAATAAATACTCTAAATTCTAATACATTGTCCAAACCATCCAGGTAACCTTATGTATATCCCAAATGTGTAACCTGACACAGGCCCTAGTCCTGACACATACATGTACCCTAACATATACCCCATCACACACCCTAACTCTGGCCCATACTCACACCCTAATAATATGTATCCTGACTGACATCCATACACCAGCATGTACTCTAACTCTAACACCCTATGTACCTAAAAATGTACCTCACCCCTAAAATGTATGGTAAACATTAACATGTACCCTAACAAGTACCCTAACGTGTACTCTAAGTGAGCCTTATATGCACCCAAAATGCTCCTGTGCTCTGCTCTTCCACAAGCCCTGCCCCTGGGCTGCGCACTTCCCTGCTCTAGGCAGAAGGTGCTCTAGGCAGGTGCACTGTCCATGGAGGACACTGAGTGCAGTGAGGACTGCTTTCCACCAGGGGGTGCTCTAGGTATGCGCACTGTCCTCCTCACTACCAGGGGGTGCCGTGACCGCTGCTTCCCACCAGAGGGTGCTCTAGGTGTGTGCACCGTCCTCCTCAGGTCCCCGGGGTCTCCCACAAGCTCCGTCCCAGGCCCACTCACTTCTCCTTTGCCACACCCCTCCTGTGCTCTGCCTCCCCACAAGCCCCGCCTCTGGACTCATTCTTGCCCCACCCCTATCATTCTCTGCCCCTACACAAGCCCTGCCCCTGGACCCCTCACTTCCATGCTCTGCTCCTCCCAGACTGGAGGGTGCAGTGAGCACTGATTCACACCAGAGGGCGCTCTGGGTGTGTGCACTGTCCTCCTCTTCTCAGGACCACGGGGTGCAGTGAGCACTGATTCCCACCAGAGGGCGCTCTGGGTGTGTGCACGGTCCTTCTCAGGACCAGGGGCTGCAGTGGATAAAGTAGAGTGAAGTGTTGAGCTTTAACGCTTTCTTAATTGATGGCTGCTTTTAAGAATGATTCCCACCAGAAGGCGCTCTGGGTGTGTACACGGTCCATCTCAGGAAGAGAGGGTGCAATGAACACTGATTCCCACCAGAGGGCGCTCTGGGTGAGTGCACTGTCCTCAGGACCAGAGGGTGCAGTGAGCACTGATTCTGACCAGAGGGCGCTCTAGGGTGTCTCTTGTCCTGGCCAGGTATGCAGTGTTCACTAATTGACACCTGATGGTGCTCTAGGTGTGTGTACTGTCCTCCTCAGGACCCCAGATCCTCCCACAAGCCCACCCCTGCACTGCTCACTTCTTGCTCTGCTCCGCCCACAAAACCAGAGGATGCAGTGAGCACTGATTCCCACAAGAGGGTGCTCTAGGCTTGCACACTGTCCTCCTCTCCTCAGCACCTAGGGTGCGGTGATAGCTGATTCCCACCGGAGGGCACGCTAGACAGGTGAGCACCTTGCTCGTCTTCTCAGGACCAGGGGTGCAATGAGGGCTGTTTCCCACCAGAGGGTGCTCTAGGCATGCTCACCGTCCTCCTTTCCTCAAGACCAAGGGGTGCGGTGAGCGCTGATTCCCACCAGATGGTGGTCTAGCTGTGTACATGATCCTCCTCTTCTCAGGTCCAGGGGATGCAGTGACCAATGTTTCCCACCAGATGGTGCTCTAGGCCTGCACATGATCTTCCTCATCTCAGGACCAGAGAGGTGCAGTGACCACTGCTTCCTACCAGATGGTGCTCTAGGTATGCACACTGTCCCCAAGACCCTTGGCGTCCCACCAGCCCCGCCCCTGGACCGCTCACTTCCTGCTCCTGCCCCACCCCTGCAGTGCTCCACTCCTCCTCCTAGCCTGTAGCTGCAGCTACTTCTGCCCAGGACCCTGTAAAACTTGAAGCCCTGATGAAGTGTCCCAAAGCCTCAGTGCCAGAGACAGACCAGCCTCTGTTTGGTCCTGCTGCAAACTGTAGTGTCCCAACCCCAGAGCAGTCTTGTCCCAGTGTTACGGGGAAAAAAGTCCACTGTTCAGACAGCCTCACTTAAAAAGATGACTTTCTTGGGGAAGTGGAGAGCTAACCGGCCAGGGACGCAGCACAGACTCGGGAGCTGAAACTGCGACCCCGAACAACCCACAAGCTAGGGTTTTTAAAGGCAACATCCACGCCTGGCCACGCACAGGTGGCCAACGGGATTGTAACACCACATAAGGGTTGCATGTTTATGT